AGAGCTAAAAAATGGGTTTCCGAGGTTCGAAAACCCTTTAAAAAGTTTCCGAGGGTAAAAAATGGGTTTCCGAGCCTTCGGAAACCTTTTTCGGCCGGTTTCCGGGAATACCTTTTTTTTTTAGAGTGTAGTTAACAAGTCAGCACATAATTTTAATTGAGTGCGTATGTAGAGCACATACGTAGTATCTACCCTAACAATTTCATGGCTATAAATATTCTTGTTGACTAATGATGAAATATACGGTCCATAAATGTTGCATTGGTTATCATCCTTTTCCACGTAAGTATGCCTCTGTTGTAGGTTGAATATCTTAAAAACGTAGCGTAATGATACCAATCGAGTGCATGGTTATACTTTGGTCATATTATTCGTGCCAAGATTCTTTGGAACTAGTCTAGTCTATTGATACTCACTACTATTTGCACTTCTCTTCCACGATTAATTGAAAAAAGGGGAGTAAAATACGACCTGGAATATGGATACCGCATTCAATTATGCAACTCAGACACTAGAATAAACTCATTCACATATCGCTTCGAACAGGATGACGCAGAAAAAAAGTGTCATAATCATTTTTTCGTATCTGATCAGTAGAATTTGAACATTTTTATAAATGTTTGCCAAGTACATCGGCAGAACAAAGGAAAATTACTATTTGTGCAGCGTTTCAAATAATCCTAATTTTTCTTTAATAAGTATGGAAGAAAAGCTAATGATCGTAAGAGAACGTATGGATTTCGAGAGAAGAGTGAGATCAATAAAACAAAGAATCAGATGTGACATAGAAGTGGATGGAGAGGATTAGAAATTAGAAATGAGGTAAAGTTGTCGGAGCTCTTTCTGTATGACGATCTATCTACCCATCCACGATGAGCGGCTTTTCGAGTCGACATGCAAAAAAAAGTGAATTTCTTAGAAGCTCGAATATTGGGTCGAATCGCGACACGAATTGTTTGTTCGAAAATTCCCAAGGTTTGAAAGCAAACGATATATTCATCCTCAAAATATTCTACTGTCAGGAATGAACACTTTGTGGAAAAGAATCAGATTTAGTAGAGTTTCATGTTAACCATTCGAGACATTCTATAGACCACCAGATTGAAACTGTAATGGATGAAATTTCATCTTAGAATCAGTTTTTTGCAATTTTTTTGAGCTTGGTTGATCATATATTGAAGATGCAGCAAAGCATATATGACCAGTCTAGAAGCCGTATGAGTACTAATTATCTAAAGATTAGAAAATTCTCCTTATGTCTTACTGATTGCCAAACGATGAAATCAAGTCGTATTTTCGTTCTCAAAAATAAAACCAAAAGCAAAGCAACTTTTGCCTAGTTAAACAGTGTTGCAAACATAAAATACATAAGTGCAAAAAAAAACGGATTTACTTCATTTCGAAACCAAGCAAACAATAACAGCGGTAGAGCAACATTTTGTGCGCATCATCGAGAGAATGCCATATTTTTTCTCATTTCTCTCTCATCGACGTGTTTTTTTTTCTTTTTTAAAAAAACACATTATGAAACAAAAATACATTCCTGGTAGTTCGAGAAAAAGAAAACAACTCTTTACATGTAATTTTTCGTTCGATTGCAAATGAAGGGTGTGAGCGAGGATACAAAGAGAAAATTCATATCCACGCCCACCCAGACGCACGCTCACCTTTACCTCCACCCACACCCTTCCTTTTTTTAAAATTTTAAACTATTTGTTCCGTGTATACTTTGACTATTTATGTAGCCAAGAACTCGTAACAAGTTTCAAATAAACTCAAAGCCGACATAAATACATTCAATGACAGGTCATTTCTTGTCTGTATATAACCTAATTTGTATCTATCTTAAGATTATTCCTGAAGACAAAATACATATAATAGAACTTAACTATAGAAAAACTAGACATAGATGAAGATAAATTGGTATTAAGACAAGCGGCAGCTGGTGGAGCTGAGTAATAATAATGATGATGATGATGATGATGCATCGACGTATGCCCAGTTCCATTATTTCCTTTTAAACAATTGCCACTATTAAATCCACTTTTCGAACCATCTTCATGTTCATCTAATGATGATAAACATGTTTCAATCATAACTTCTAAACAATTGACACATAATTCGGCATTATCTGGATTTTGTTGTAATACAGTAAATGACCTAGCAAAACGCCATAAACCATCAAAACCATATGATTAGAAACAAGTAAGTTGTTGTTGTTGACTTGTATCATCAACAGATGAACAAGCATCATTTGATATATTATTGATTGAACTAATGCTAATATTGATTCATTATGTGATAGTGAAAGTACAGAGTTTTTTTTTGCATTTAATAAACACTGTATTAGTGGAAGTACTTTTGAAAAAACAACGTTAGCTTCCATTAAATATTCATATATTATTCTTATTTCATTTTCATCAAATGTATTACGTACAAGTGTTGCTAATACTGTTAAATGTAATGCTTGTGTTGATACATCGGATCTAATCAAAGATTTGTTTCACTACTTAAAATAAATTTTTCTTTTTACTTGTGGTGATTGTTGCGTTTCAGGTGAAGTTTGTGGTGTCACAGTAATAGTTGGTACAACGTGTTTAACTTGTTGTAATTGAACAAGTATTGAAGCTGGTTTTGTCAGTATAAGTAGTACAGCATGTTCAATATCAAATGAATGCCAATGAGGTGTATGTGATGGTACGACTAATAATCGAGTAGTAATAACAGCTAATATTCCTCCAATTTTACGTGTTTTATCAGTAAATGATACATCCCAAGATTTTTGTCTTTGAAGAAATAAACCTTGTTGAACATTAAGTAATGTAGAATTCATTTGTGGACTTGTTAGAGCAGATGACGATGGTAAACTTTCACCTGTTCCAATAAAATCTGTAATTGATGTACTTGAATGTGATTGCGGTAATGGATAAACAATTGCTATTGAAGGATAATTTGATGCTAGAATATTTGTTGAAGAATTTGAATTTGTTATTGATGGAACAATAATAGATCGATGTTTAACTGGACAATCAGTACGAACTTCTTCAACATCATTACTTATTTCAGTTAAATATGGTACTGATGTTAAGGTTACTTTAGATTTATAATGAGATTCAGATTTCGAAACAATATTCAAAAGAATCGAAAGAACACGAATTTCACGAGCAACAGTTGATTGAACAAGCTGATGACGAAATCCTGAAATTTAAAAAACAAAAATTATTTTCAAAAAAAATTCATTTTACCTTTAATGAGATGCTCAACAAGTGCAAAATTAAAATTCGATTTAAATGATAAACCTATACTACTATCCATTTCAAAAAACAAGATGAGTGAAAAAAGGCTACTATTTAACTGCTAAGTAAATTAAAATAAAAGCTAAGCAAAAAATGAATATTTTCTAAGTAATTTCAAAAATAGAATTCTAAGTAAAAAAATATAATTGTTCAGTTATTATGTTAGTAAAGCTGTTTAGCTTTTCGAGGTCGTCCTCGTTTTCTTTTTTGTCCTAAAGCTATGTCTTTGGCCGATGGTGGTGGTTTACAAGACTTCAATCTTAATAGCCATTCCAATGACATGTTTGCAAATAAATTCTTTGAAGAAGTTGGGACAATTGCAAGTGCCACTTTTCCATTCCGTTCCATCATTAGATAAAGTCACTTTCCAATTACCGAATTGAAGAATCTTGAATTGATCAAAGGAGTTCCAGGTTTTTTTCTTGTATTTTTGAATATCATGTTGTGTAATGTGTTGCGCTTCACCAGCTGGTATATAATAACCAATAGCACCTTTTCGGCTCGAT